CAAAGTATTTTTAAAAATTGAGGATCTATATATTTATGTCATTTTTCCTATGATTCCTGCTGTGAAAAAGCAAAGCTTGAGATATTGCCAACTCCTCTATGCTGTAAAATATTATGTCAGTGGGGAAGGCACATCTTGGCAACAGCTGACACTAGAAAAATGTTAAAATTAACTGCAGTTAGGTTATGTCCATACTACACTGGACTTTTGGTACCTCTGACAAGATTCTGTTCTACAATGATGACTTCAGTATGGAGGCAGATGGGAAGTTACAGTTTAAATGAAGCATAATTTCAAATCTGTAGACAGTCATAGTGTCTTCTTCCCTACTTCACTAAGTGCTCTAAATAATTTTATTTCCTAAACAGAGGACATAGCATGTATTCTTTCCAGATGGATATCACAGAATTAACTCTGGGGGTTGCAGTTCATTTTCAACTACAAATTCTTATCAATAATATAAAGTCAGGACCCAAACCTAGTCTTTGTGACATCAGTGAACCAAAAGTAAATACACCAAAGTCAGTGAAGCTACACCAGCATGATGGTCTAACTCAGTGTTTATTAAAGTAAGCCAAAGCTGATTAGAGATTTGAGTGGGCACCGGGACATGGTCTTGAAATTGCCACTTTTGTGTGACAGAGATATCTGTATTTCCTTAAAATTCTCAGAACTGAGGTAATGACTTGGCCTGAAATTTATCTCCAGGCAATTTCAGATTATGAGCTAAAGAATGCATTTTTACTTGGTGCACTTACAAACATTAAATACATAATTTTATTTTCCTCTACAAAAAAAAAAGATTGTTCAAATACAAGCCCATCTCATCTAAAATTTAATACATCTTTTTATTATGTTAATACTGATCCTCTTGACACAGCAGTGACACACTTCCTATCAGGAGAAATACAGCTAAGCTTGAAATACTTAGTATTGTTACAGTACATCAGTGTAGACTATCCAATATGGACACTGTCAGAAGTAGAAAGCACGATGATGCACCTTTATAGCTAGGGTGCAGCTTCTTTTGAGAAGACTGCTTTCCCTTATTGTGGTTTAGAGGAAGATGAAGTTCTGTTGTAGAATTTCCCAAAATCTGCAGCTGGTAAAATATGACACCTCACCTCTCTCAGTAATCTTAAGACAGTAAGAACATCTGTAAATATTCAAGTAGTAGGATTCAATCATGTCTTTCTCTTTTTCAAATTTTTTAAAATATATTTTAGAAATATTCTGCATTTATAAGTAAGAGCATTCTTCAATGGAATTGAACATCCCAGAATGAAGAACTTTTTTTCTCCTACAGTTTCATTGTCTAAATAGTATTAAATATTTTAATTATAGATCCTACCTTTCATGCTCAAATCCAATTTGTTTCTCCAGGCTACATTCAAGACCAACTGCAAAACTGAAACATACAATATTTTATATAAAACGTATAATATAAATTTGAAATAATTAAATTTCACAAACAAAAATTTGTGTAGGAAAGGACCTAAAATTCCAAGTTAAGTTTTCATAGGGTGAAACTTTCAAGTTTCAGTGAGGAACATAGTTTTCACTTATTTTTCCTGTGATTCAATCTATCCTTCAAAATCAATATAAAGTAAATCTTCTATCAGATAGATCTAAATTCACACATATAACTAAGCACACTGAAGCCAGCAGAGATGAGAACAGAAATGTTCTCATCTTAAAAAATAAATTGAAACAATATCCTAAAAAAATCATAAATAAAGCATTAGACATTGATTTTCCCACTTGACTTGCATGATGCTTAGTATGGTGAAAATCACTGATTTACAGTAATATCTGTTTTGTTTAGCATGGCAATATTCTGCTCAGGCACTCCACACAGACTTCAATCTGTCCTTACAGAATTGATTCTACCACTTTAGCAGGATGTGAAATAACACATTATAATGATAATGAAGGGATCCAGAACTTAATGCACCTGAATTTGTAACTGGGTCTGTATCTTCAGTTTTACTTAATCTTTGTGTGCCTAAAATAGCCCAGAAGTTCATTCTCATGAGTAGCCAGCACACCAGCTAAGGAATTAATCTCCTCCAGAGGGTTGGAATAGAGCAGATGTTTCAAAACATGTTTCTCTCTACTTGTGTGCTACAATCACAGCCACAAATAGTAGCCCCAAAGGAGGCAAAAATGCAGTATCTGTACGAGGCTGTCCAGCAGAGGAGTAGAAAAAGGAGCAGCTCACCAGCTCCATTTCATGCATCAAGCGGGTGCTCCATCAGCTCTTGAACTACATTTGCAAACAGAAAATGAGATTTCCTCACACTAGCTCAGTCTATACTCATCACCCTGAGCTCAACTGAGAATCAACAGGCAAGATCATGCACCACTAGAGACTAGTGAATTACTGAATGGAAGCAACAGCTCAGTGAGTGAAGTTATTTAATGAGACGGAGGATAGGGAAGGATTTTGCCCAGAGTGACAATTGGAGACAAGAACCAGTTGCTTTAAGATGAGAGGACTAAAAATTGTTTGTACTGTGAAGAGTGAAAGGAAGGACCAGTAGAAAGATATAAAGGCAAGAAATATATAACCCAGAGCAAGATGAGGTTTGCAAACAATGTATTTTTTTTAAAAATAGACAGTTGATCAAGCAGACAGTTTTTCAGCTTCACTCTGAAAAAGCTCACATTTCCTAAAAACATTTTTTTCCATTTTCCCAGCTATATCAGTAGAACAGTAGATCTAATGAAAAATACTATGTGTTTTTACTTACTTTGTATTGTCTATGCCTTTGGGGTCTCAAGATTGCAACAATCAAGAGCAACACAAATCAACACAATCAAATCAAGAAAATCAGCAAGTTGATTACTGTATGAAAGCAGAGAGAATTGAATTGGATAGCTGTTTCCATAGAGAAGAGACAGAAGAGCAGAGAAGAAGAGAAAAATCAAACAATTCTACATGAAGTGATTCTGTTTACAGAAGTCAGAAAAAACACAGATCTGAGATACAGCCTTCTGAAAGTGGTTTACTCCTTTAAGCAGGTAGCTTAATTTCCCTTTTAAGATCCAGATTACGTAGTTTTCATCTTGTTTTATTCAAGAGCTTGTATTGCCAACTTTCAGAGCAGAAGTGTGTGACGTGTCCCTTCTTGAGCTGTAAAATGTGCCTGTTATTAAAGAAAAAGGTTCAAATCGATAGTAGACAGTATTTGATTGAAACAAAGCTTTTCATTCCAGCTTTTACTCCTTCCTGATGTAAATTCAGGAGTGATTCTTGAATACATAATGAACTCCAGCTGATCTTGCACTATAAATCTTTGGCAAGCTGTAAGGGGCAGAGTTGCTGTTCAAGTAATTTACATTTTCCAGAGTTCAAGTTCATTGCTCCTTCAGAACTTAAAAACTTAATATTTTAAGGAACCTTTTTAAGATATGCGTATATCAGGATTTCTCCAAGACACATGAAAAAGAAAAGAAAATGGCTATTGGCCAAAAAAAAAAAGTCAGCGATCCATGTGTTTCCCATATGCAGACTACCAATGGCTTTCAGATCCTGTCATATGCATGATTGCTTGTTTTATGATAATTATTAGAATTAATTAGTATTAATATTCCAACCCTAACTATTAATTAGTATTAATATTCCAAGCTGGCCCACAAGCCATTAAGCAGTTTATCAGCTAGCAAACAACTCAGAGCTATTGCCATATTGGTATGGTCCCCAGTAAGAACTGGCTCAGCAGCACTAAACACTGAAATCACCTCATTATTTTATTCATTAGGCACATCTTAGTAAACTGCTTTTAAAATTAATTTTAGAAGCTCTAAAAAATGAGGGGTTAAAATTATCCTATAGACTCATTGAGCTACCAGCCTGTCAAAACATGAGTCCTGTGGAAATGCCTCTTGACTTTATGCAGAAGCAGTGGCAGACAATTACTTTTAAGATCAGGCTGGAGAAGTAGCTACCTCTACTTGTTTTCTACCACTTTTTTTTTTAGTACCCACCCAGAATGTAGGTGACAGAGCTCCATTTCACCTTGGTCAAGAACCAGTCAAACTCATGTCTTCTGCCTCCAGAATGAGTTCTAGTCACCCAGCTGTCCTTAAAAGGTGGGGAGAGGGATGATCTTCATCATTCTGGCAGAGGTATATTCCTTCCATTTTCCATAAATGAAATCAGGATTCAGGGGCTAGAAAACAGATACATAACTCCAGCATAATGGTTGGGGAGAAAAAATAATATCATGTCACATGTATCCTCATTTCTAAGCAGACGTTTCCCTTGGCAGTGAAAAACCCCAGTAAGAAGGGCAGAGTCAACTAATTTTCCTCATGACCAGCATCTCAACTTTTCTTATACGTCCTAAGGGTGCTCAGGATCTTGTGCCGCAAAATAGAGGACACCAACCATGTATGCAGGACTTGCATCCCTTTAGGGAATCCTGTCCTTTGCTGCGCTGCTCCCTGAGCATTTAGCCTCAAGGGATCAACCATCCTGAGGTATATTTGCACCACCAAACACACATTCACCAGCTATTACATCTTCAGCAGTCTTACCTCTCACCACCTGCAATGGAGCAGGAACAGCAGATCTGATCATAACACTGTGATTTGAAAAGACGGCTAAGAGATGAATGTCACCAGACCAGCTTCTCTCCTACCCCTCATTTTGCCCATTCCTGCCCTTTTGTAAACCCCATTACCACGAACATAAGCAATTTATTTTCCTGGTCTCCCTTCTCCCACCCTTACCCCTCGGATGCGCTGGGACGGACCCGACCCCGACACTTCTGTGCGGGGCCCGGAGCCGCCCCTCTGCCCACGGGAGGGCTGTGACGGGCGGGCGGCTCTGGGGGTCGGTAGCAGCCCCACCACCGAGCCCGGGAGTCAGTCCGATTCCTGCCGGGCCCGGAGGGTTGCCGAGGGCAGTCTGTCCCGTCGGACGCTCCCTCCGCCCGCCGAGCAGCGAGCCCGCTCCGGGCGGGCTGGCTCACGGCGCCCGCGGGCTGCGCACGTCAGGGGAGACAGCCGTCCCCCCCGTGAGATCCCGGCATATATAGGAGCTGCGGGGCACCGCGGGCCGATCGCAGCCGCTCCGTGCCGCCAGGGGCTCCGCAGCGCCATGGCCGCGGCCCCGGCCCGGGCGGCGGGGCGAGCAGGTGAGCGGCGGGCGGCGGGCTGGGGGCGGTCGGGCACACCCCGACACTCCGCGCCCGACGCCGCCGCCCTCTCCGCAGACGGGATTGCGGCGCTGGCGCTGCTGTGGCTGCTGGTCTGCGCTCCGGGGGACGCCGGCTGTCACCCCCTGACCGTGGCCGATCTCTTCGACCGGGTGATCCGGCACTCGGGCAGGATCCACAGCCTCTCCACGGCGCTCTACGCCGAGCTGGTGAGTGCCGGGCCGGCCCCGCCCGGAGCTGGGCTTGCTCCGCCCTGGGAGCGGGGAGCGGCGGCCGGCGGGCGGGATGGGGGAAAAGGTGAGGGGATGTAGGGGGTGGTGGTGCTCTCGGTGCTCGTTTAGGTGTTCTTCCCCGCAGGAAAAACACTTTCCTCCCCGCGACAACGAGCTGGGAAGGCCCGCTCGGAAGTGCCACACGTCGGGGATGCTGACCCCCAACGGCAAAGAATACGCCCAAAAAATCCCGGTAAGGGCAAACGCGGCGCCGGCGGACAGAGACAGGGCAAAAGGGGGTACCGAGAGGCTTGGGAGACGGGAAAGGACTCTGCGGCTCACACCGCCTTCTTTCTCCCCACCCTGGAGAAAGGGGAATACACCCTCTGTCCTGTCAGAACCCCAAAATGTCTCATGCATCATGCTGTAAGGGTCCCCCACTCCAGTCGGGCTGGAGATAGGCAGAGAGGGTTTTATGCTTCCGGAGCTTCATCAACAATCTGGAAGAAAGATGCTGCTAAGTTTTGACCCCAAACAGGTGCACATCGCAGAGGTATTGCATATAAATCTTAAATTAGTTGAATTTTAAATCTGTATATGGTACCTAAAATTGGATCATAAACACTAGTTCAAATAAGGATATTGCAGTAGTACTTTGTCAGAATGACTGACAGACATCCTTTGATTTTGTTGAGACAAACTCTGTGGAACAGAAACTTAGAAACTTGTGTGTGTGGCAAAGAAGTCACATTAATCAGTATCACTGCAAAGTACAAAAAGCGATCAGGAGAAAGATATAACAGTTTTCTCTGAATCGGTAGTTAGGTAAGGGGGAAAGAACAGCAAATTTGTTTACATCACAGTTGTGATGGCAAAGAGAAAAAAATCATTATTAGTTTAGAGAAGAGTAGGAAGAGTTTGTTCATACAGAGAAAAAGCAACTTGTGATGTTGGGAACAAACTAGTGGGAGAAACTTTTGCCTCTAGGAGACAGACAAAGACAAATGCTAACATTTTGGCTTTTGGTTGTGATGGAGTGAGGAGCTTCCCCCAGGACGTCCTTCTAGAAGGTCCTCTGGAAGGGCAATGGCAGATGAGGCCCTGCTCGTATTAGCTGAAAACATGACAAATACAACTTCTGGGTGTTAATATATATATACAAATAACCAGAGACAGAGTGGTGTTTTAGTAGTGAATTGCAGATGTAAACCTTGATCCCACTGAGATTTCACCATGAGACTAAGAGTATTCATATGATCTGCTGCAAAGTAACAGACACATTCTCCACTGTTTCAATTTATAAGAGAGAAGAACTAACTCACGTGATACTGAAACTTCTGCAAGCCTGGAAAGAACCACTTTCCCACTTTAACCAGCATATTGAGCACCATCAAGAGCTACCTGATGACAGCCTTAGCAAAGCTAAGCAAATCAGCAATATGGTACATGAGCTGAAGACTGGAGTCGAGAAAGTAACAGAAAAGGTAAAATTTTCAATGTAGCTTTTATTTATGTCAGTTATGTGGCATGGGTGACTTCCAGGAGGAGGCAATGTCTGCTCCCACTTGGGTTTGGAGGCTCTTATTCAGTAAAGTGCAGGACTTTGTTAAAGATACTTTAACAAGGTATCTTTCTGTCAGAGGATGTGACTTAGCTATAGATTGGCAGATATGTACACGGTATTATAGGAGTCCATATCTGTGAGGCAACATTTTATTAATATGACATATATGAACAACACACATGAATACAAATGCTAGAGCCTTTTGTATCTTCATATATGAGCCAGTAATGACTTGAGTTTTCCAGGCCAGGAGAGATTATGTGGGTAGACCATAAAAATGCTTAATAATTGTGTTAAGTTTTATTTGTATTTACATTCTATGCGATTCAAGTATCACTGCTGTCTGATGCAAAGAGCTCCTTCCTAAGGCAATAATTTTATGCTGGGATAAGTTCTTCAAGAGAACAGTGGCATTGCTTAAGTCTGATGTTAGTCACAAAACAATTTCGAAACTCCATTCCAAATTATGGCAGATTATATGTAAATCATTGGATGATTTATATATAATATAAAAAGTCTTTGCTGTTTCCATTTCTATCTTCTCATTACTAGCTAGAAGTCCTGACCTTCGCATTTTTTGTTCATTTATATCTAAAATTAACTGTGGTTTTGGCTGAACAAATGAAATCTATGTCCTCATTCTCTAAAATGGCTACACTGCCAGGGAGTCTGCTTCACTAAAAAAAAAAGTGATTAATAAACTAGTATCTTACACTAGCAGATCACCTTTAACTGTATGAACACAGGTGGGGAACACAAGCTTTAAAACAGTAAGAAGCTCATCACTAGAATAGGCTGAGTTTTACCCTACTATAAACTGCATCCTTCTTTAGGGTAATTCAGAGTTACAAATAGAAACTCCATCATCCGAATGCAGCCATGGTTCTGGATTAAAAAGGCCTTAAAGCTCAGAAGTCTTCAACCTCAAAGCTCGACCTTTGCTTCATTCTGTAGCCGAAGCAAACTCTAAACTAGTAATACTCTTTTGGTGTATTTACATACTTTATTTTTTCTAAAACACCTTTGAAGCTATTACTAAGAAGGAAATCTCTGGAGTATTGATTTCTCTGTACCATGGATATTTCTACATGGGGTAGAGTTATAATTACAAAAATTAATGCATTCCATATTTTCCATCTATGTTGTTCTGTTTAAAATTAGGAAAATTCTAAAGTTGTTTATGTTGTGAAGCACCTACTCTGAGAGGTGATCACAGTCTGTAGAATTCACCAGGTTAAATAAACAGCACTGGTGGACGCTCATGTTAGGAGCGTCCCTTCACAGAAAGCATCAAAATAAATGGCTAAAAAAATCTCAAGATTGATTTGCTCTAATTCTTCAAGAGGAAATAAGGATTGCCAAATAGGTTCCTCTACTTAAACTCAGATGAAGTGTTCATTACCAGTGTATCAAGAAATTTCAGTCTAGTTTAAAAGTTGCAGAGATACCATTAGGATAAAAAGACAATGTTATTCTACATAAGAATCTTTACATATATCTCCAGTAATTATGTGAAATATCTGAAATAGCACTGCCCAATGGAGTGAGACCTCAGTTGTCTTCTGCAGTAGTATTTTCAAGATTTGTTGCATGTGAAGTTAGAAGTTGAACTTCTTTTCCTGTTTTCAATACAGATGCAGTCAATGGGGATCATCAGCAACTCATTAAATGGAATGGCATCATCTGAAGGAACTGGTTTATCAATTAGTAATGCAGCAAACATGATGAGTGACTCTGATTTCATTCACTGTTTTAGGAGAGATTCCAATAAAGTACAAAGCTACTTAAAAATTCTCAAATGTAGGATTATGCCGCCAAATACTTGCTAAACTCTAATCCCTTGACAAGTAGTCTTCAGCATGCAGAACCTTGAGGGACATGTCACTGGCCTCCACCTGGACATGAGAGCCACTGCTCACAATCCCCTGGATGCATCCCACCAGCCAATTCCTTAACCACCAAATAGACCAGCCTCCAAACCTATGTCTGTCCAATTTGGAGATAAGGATGTCAAATGGGACCTTGTGGAAAGCCTTACAGAAGCTGAAATATAGGTACAACATAGTTGAAAGTAAGATTCAACCTGTTAAACCTTGGTACATCTGTATACTATCAATAAAGTATTTTACCTAAAGAAAATGTTTTCCCCCATTTCTACATATATATCTACCTGCAGAATATTTCTTAACACTGAAGAGGGGCATTGATGTTGATCAGCTCATTTAACTGCAGGGCCTATGCCAGACTTTTACATTCACTTCATACTTCTTACTGATTTCTGAGGGCTTTCATATGTGTCCTATAAAATCTAGTATTTGTATTCATTTTGAATGCTCTTTTATGGTTGTAATGGCTTCACTGATTTCAGTAGAAACGCCTAAAGAAAAAGACTGTGAAAATTAAGTCAGAATTCTGGTCCAAATAGCATTTCAGCCTAAGAGCTGAGCTGGGAGTAGCAATAAGTCTCTTTCCCAGTCCACATGCTGACACAGGTCTTAGGTTTTACAGTAATGATTACAAACTCCATTGCAAATAAAAATATGAAAGCTGTCAGATATTTTAAAGAAATCACATTTTCCTAGCAGCAGGGTGGTGCTGCTGGCTGTGCATACAACAAAACCTCTTTGCATTCAGAGCCTGAGACATTTGAACAAGTAGATATAATCAACACAGATTTATTTTTAATATTCTTGACTTTTTTACCACTAAATGCTCTTTACTGGCCTTTCATGATCTTGATGGTTGCTGACAGTAACGCAGGAGCTCAGGCTGAAGAATAAGGAGTAACATGCTGATGATTATTTAATAATGATACTAAATTTGGACTTGAGAAACCCAGCAGAGAAAGATGTCAAAGAAGCATTTATGCAGACCAGAGAAACAACACTTTAGTTACATGCCTGTAACTGCAAATATCCTCAGATATCTCCTATCACGTAGATGGCTGCTGTACTTTTGCAGCTAGAAGCTGTGAGAGGTCACAATTTGCATCTGGTCCCTGCTGTGCCAGGTATAGTAGAAAAGCAATGGGTTACATTGTGCTTGCCCTGAAGAAGTTACTGGCTGCAGTTCCTTATGCAGTAAGATACCACAAACACATGATGAAATAGCAGCATTCATGGGCAGATTTGGGGGAAATTCTGGAAACAAAACACAGCTCCAAAGAGAGCAAAGGAAGGCTCTGAGCAAACAGACAGAACCAGAGGGGGATACCCACACTGCCTGCATCTGGCTGCGTTCACAGAAGATGTAGCAGCACTTATAGCGGTAGCACTAACGCGGCCATCCGGTGTGGCCGCAGCCGCGGAGCACAGCATCCCGCAGGCGGTGCGTGCCTCCCAGGCAGCGAGGGGACGCTGCTGCTCCCAAGCGCTGCAGCGGGGCGGCCGCGCCTTCGCTGGGGAGACAAGCGGTGCCGGGGCACCGCCGCGAACCGACACACACACGGCAGCCCCCTGCCCGCGGGCCGCGGTGACAGACACGGCGGGGCCACCGCCTCGAGCGGCTGCCGGCAGGGAGATCCTCCGGAGCGGCTGCGGCCCGCCCCGCTCCCCGGGGCCCCGCGCACGGGGCTGACAGCGTGGGAGGCGGCCGTGCTCCCCCGGGAGGCGGCCGTGCTCCCATGGTCCTGGCTGGTGGCAAGGAACCACAGCGAATTGCATGGTGACTCCGAAACAGCCGAAGCCGCAGCTGGCAGGACGTCCCAAGGGTGCAGCTGAGGGTCAGGTGGAAAACCTCGCAAACGGAGCAGGTCACACAAAAAACTCGCACCTCAGCCAAAGTGCTAAACCCTGGGAACGTTTTGCTGTACAGAAATGTGAAAACAGAGAAAATCAGATAGTGGGTGGCACAGCAGGAACAGTGCACCGAAGTGTTATCCACAGTCATTCATCCTCATTAGTGTTATATTTCAGTTTTGCCTTTGGCTGAAGCGAGGCATGTTGGTAAAACAAAAGCCTTCCTATATTGCTGGCATCGCTTTGCTTCCTCTTGCGATTGAGGAAACAACTGAGCAGTGGGCTGAAAAGGGCATGCTTTTCTCTGTGGCCACCGATGCCTCAAACAGAAATACAGTGGTGGTTGCTTTCTGCACAGGGGAATACTTCATCTCCTGCACGATTTCCTCCAACACAGCAGCATAAATGGTTAGGATAATTTGATAATGTTAAATCGTGTGCTACTACCAAAAGCTTTAGAGTTTGAGGATCCATCACTTTTATATCCAAATATTAATTTAGGAGAAAAAAATTCTGTAAATTAATGGAAAATCAGAAAATCAGGATTGACTTCCAGTTATGTGCAACAAAATAGGCAAGTAATTGTATAATTTCCATTTGTGAAACAATCTGTTTCCATTAAACTTTCTTGCCAACCAAATAAATTTAAGAATTAAAAATATCTCCGTTGTTCTTCAGACCTTATTCCATGAAGCATTGCAGGATAATCCCAGAATACTGACATTTTTGTATAGTCCAATTATTTTTTTTCCAATTATTAGAACTGGCTTTTGCACATCAGTGATTTCCTCATCATGTTTCCATTTTTTCAGAATGATGAAGAATGCAACAGAGATGCTCCCAGTGTCTGAAAATTCATTTTGTTCCTTTCATAATGCACTAAATGGTATTGATAGTGTATCTTAAATTCTGACTCTTGTATGTGCTGATGTTTCCATGGTAGATTAAGTGGCTAATGTCACTCATAGTTTAGCTCTTATCTAAACCCATGACTGCAAAACAGAAACAAATTTAAACAGTCTTCACTGCACAATACACATGCATGTTCTGCTACCTGCATCCAAATATTGACCTGTAAATAAAAATTACTTGGAAAAAACTGAAGAATGCCTCAAGGGTTGGATGCTAATAAAAAGTGGCATTTCTTTGTGCTTTAGAAAGCACTGGAAGATCACTATAGAGATGTTACCTTCTAACATCCCTGTCCACCATGCTCATCTTCAGTGCTCAGAATTACAACCAATATAAAAACAAAGAGTTGCCATTCTCTGGCCGTGAATTTTGGTACAAGTCTGCATGGGGGAATTTCAGACCCAGGTTTGACTATCCCAGTTTACCTTACAGTAAAGGTGAGCAGCAGTCACCAGGTACATAGCTTAGAAGCACACTCATTTAAAGACTTCCTCAGTCCACAAGAATTTCATCCACTGTGAACCTTTCTCTGTAGGGGCTTTTTTCTCTGTAGGTCTCCCTGTGGTTGAAAGCTGAGTCGTAAGTTAATTTGACTCTAATGCCTCTCTATTCCTTTCTAAAGGCACTGGATTTACAGCTATCATCATGAAATTGGTTTGTCTTTCCTTCTAGTATGTGAAAATCAGTAACAGTCTAGTTGGTAGAGGGTGCTGAAGCATGTGAATGTACTTAATTTATGTCAGTCTTTTGACTGCAGCACATACATTCATCAGAGGAGCTGTGTGGCTACAGTGATGGCAACTGGTATTTAAAACCCAGTACTAGTAAATCACAGCAGATAAAACAAATCTGATGTATTACTGCAGCTCAGGAGTGACATTTGACCTTTGTATTACTGTTCTGACACTGAAGTTAGTAATGCAGTTTTGTGCCTTAAAGCAGCCCTGTTCTCAGCAGATCATAACAATTATTTCCTGTTTGACAAAGGATCGATAAAAACAAGGTAACTTTCAGAAAACCGTTTTATACTGTAAACATGTACAATTAAAGTTTAAGTGCTGACATACCTGTGATCAGCAAATCCAGCTTTTAACAATGTTATATGAGGCCCATGGAGGAGCTAGCTGGCCTTTCACATTCACAAGCTCACAGTTATTCACATGCAGTAAAACATGACTGTGGCTGTGCCTGATACAGACTGCAAAAATCTGCATTGCGATACATTTTAAAAGTCCAAGAGCTTAGAAGGAAATCAACAGCCTCTTCTTAGGTATCAAGGAAGGTCCTCTGCCTGACTTTAAGAACACACTTTCAAGATCCACATTCAGACCCATATGGAGGATCTTCAATAGGTGGGATGAGAAAAGTCTCTTCTGTTCCGGAGGCTGCTGGGCTGGGCAGGGAGATCTCTGTGTCAGCAGCACAGCCTGAGAACATGGAAGTCTGCAGCTCAGTTAACAAAGCCAGTACTGAGCCTCAGCCTTTCCTCTCTTTCCTTGTTGTATACTGTATTACATTAGCATTGATAAGTTGCCAGAACAAACAGAGAGGTGCTCAGTGAGTATAAGTATCTGCTTTGTTTGCGGCCTCTGAAGAGATGAGGTTTTTAACTGTGGTTTGCAATTTGAGGTACCTGAATGCTCCCCACTCCCAGAATCTCAATAAATGTCCATCATAATACTCCACAGCTGGTAACTATAGTCTCAAAATGCTACATACAGGAAATACCTCAGATACTGTACAGCCATGCTGCAAGAGCAGCCATCAGGTCAAATCTCTGAAGTCCAAGCAGCACACTGCTGGTTTTAACCTAGGTGTCACTGGTATCTACCATGTCACTCCCTTATACCAGCTGCACTACACCTTTCATCTCTGCACTGCGTCTGTTATGAAGCAGTTCAAATATCTGCTGGGCATTTTGCATACCTGTGCTTTCTTTGTTCTTTCTAAAACTAGTATGCATACTGTATTTGAAGAAACCAAATACCACTTGATCCTTCACAAAGAAAAGACTGGCACTGAAAATATATTTTTGTATTTGTACAGGGTGCTATTTCTCATTTACCAAGTTTGCACAGTATGAAGTGATGAGAAACTTCTCCTTTATACAGCACAAAATCAGAGGAATCAAAATTGTGTGTCTCATGGACCTAAATCATAATTTAATCACACTATTTTACATATAATTCAAGATTTGCATGTGAACTTATAGAGTTTTTTTATAAAGCTTGGTCGGCATTTTCAGATAAAGGATCTTATCTGGCATAGTGAAACTTCATTCTAGCTGTAAAACAAGAATACTGATAGGAGGTGTTAAGAGATTTTTATCTGGCATAGTGAAACTTAGCATTCTAGCTGTAAAACAAGAATACTGATAGGAGGTGTTAAGAGATTTGGAGAATCTTGAAATAGTTTAAGATTTGACAGGCTACAGTGAAACCAGAATTTGTTGAATTTAAAACACCTGTAATATTACAACCAATGCTGCATGAGCCTTGCTTGACCTTTGCGTCAGTGAGCCAGCCTTCAGATGTATTCTGTTCAGCACATCAGCTCAGTTTTGACAGTAGTTCACATTTTGTGCTTGCAACACCATGAACCGAAAGAATTTCCCAAGAAGCATTCTGAATTGCATCTCCAAAAGTGTTTCGTGTTTCTTCTAGCACTGAGGTTTCATTGACTTGCAGTAAAATAATATGAGCAGCTGGGAAGACTCCCTTTCCATTAAAGGTGAGATTAAAAAAACCCCACAACCCCTACCATACAGATTTCCTCCAAAATGGGAAGCACTGATGAATAGATGCCAATGTATATACCACCACCTGATCATTAGACAGCTCTCTGGAAATACCTGCAATGCAATTTCACAACCATCTGGGCCGCTAACCCTAGCTGGTTCTTCAGGCAGGAGCTCGTCAAACAGGGCAGGACTTCAACACCAAATTCATCCCCATGTGTACACAATCTGTCTGTTCTTCTCCCCACCAAATGTTTCTTGCATAATCTGAGCTGGTTCCAGGATTTCAACTGCAAGAGAGGAATAAACTCCTCTCATTACACAACACGTGTTCAAGGGCTTTCTGAGGGTAGGTGTTGAGGCAGCTTACACTAATGAAGATTTATAAATGCAGGAAGAGATAACTTCTTAATTCTTCTGTAATTTGTTTTTTTCTTTAGATCAAGCAGAGAAAATCACATGCAAGGAATGCCACATAATGCAAGACTTGGATTGCACATTTGGCCACTGAGACAGCAGGACATGCACAAGGCAAGGTACAAAACTCACCTTATCGTGCTCAAATGTTATGATACAAGGATCATCATTGGAATCTCAAGTTTTTTAGCTGCAGATGTATCTGAACTTCACCTCCCAGATAATACAATGTAACAAGGGGACTAGTAAATCATCTATCAAAAGGTAAAACATTAAATAACAACTTACTCCACAACAATTGCACAGCTTTTTGAAAGATGTACAATACAGTTAAAAATATTTGGAGCTCAAGGCAAGAATAATCAGAAACATTCAAGGCATATATGATAAGAAAAACCAGACTAGATTATCATAATCTTTTGCCTATAAAATGTATGAATGCCAGAAAGAAAACAGTCTCTATAAAACCATAATGGTCTCCATAAGGTTTTGCCTGTAACATAAAATAACTTTAGTCTCTCTTCTCAACAAAGGTATTTTTAAATGTTTGAAAAAGAAAATTAATGCTATGCTCCCATTTTGAGCTATAAAGGTTTCCAAATAAAACTAAGAAAGATACACCTAAATTCATAGACTGATCTCCTTAAATTGGCTTAAGAAAGCAAATAGTTTTAAGTAGCTTTAATAATATTCAAGGCTATTTGTATTACACAGAATACTGTCCTATCTTTGATACAGATATATGCTAATGTGTCCTTACTGGCACCAGTTTAAACAGCAGTAAGCCAGGAATAATGCTACTGTTGGTACATCATCTCCATAAGTAATTTTCTGAACTGGCTGTAGTAGCAATTTTTCCAGTTATGGATGTGTTGCTTAGTGCATTTTTGGCTACAATTCTGCACATTGCCATTACAGTTTTGAAATATTAAAGATTCTACCAACAGACAAAAAGAAGACACTGCAATTCAAAGTTAAGAATGCTAGTAGATTCATGCATGGACAGAAAGACAGAAGCCAGTGAACTGCACTTTCCAGTACACACTCTCATCAGAGTTACTTAAAAATTGAACATTTTATAGACTAGGTTAGTTGCCTTTTACCATCACATAACTTTACTGAGGTTATCAATTGACCTGTGACCATACTATTTAAAACTAATTAAATACTGACATAGGTGAAGACAGATGGAGAAAACACATCAAAATGCTTGTATTGTCCATATGAATCTATTGTGTTATTTAATGAATTTCTAAAAGAACCCAACACCACTTACTGTCTTGAGAGAAGAGCTTTTTTTATCTCATGCACAAAAGAAATTAATTGGTTTGACTACAATGAGAGATAAAAGTGATTCTCTATCAGTGTGTTTTTAACGAGCATGACATACAGTGCAGATGTATAAATCAGAGCACAAATTCAGCTTCATGTTCTTCACTTCATTTTACTTACCATCAGTTCCTATTTTACTTTTAAGGTCAGTACAAGACTGGAAAAGACACAAGAAAAGACTGTATATTGAAGAATGCTTCTTTAGTCATTAGTTGTTTGTAATTTTAATGGTGTTAGACTTTAGCATATTTTTGAAGCATAAACTAGTTAGCTTTACAATGTTCAAATATTGTTAATCTTAAAAGACTGCTCATTTGAAGCCTGCACTCTCCCACTCCATTTACAAGCTGCCCCTACTCCCTTACACTTGATGATGCCTTGTTTGCAGTGTCTTGGTCAGGAAACAAATAGATTGGGCTCTGCAACGAATTTGCTCTTGGAGGTGGTTGTATAGTATTCAGTCTTTCAGAATTTCCTGGAGAATTCTCCCTCCACCTCGGACTTGCCCGCTCTTCAGACATTTCCCACACAGATGGGCATGGGGAGGTAAAATTCATGGTGGATCGTGAGAGGTAGTTCTCCTGAAGACCTTCTTCTTGGAGGCACCTGTTGGAAAGCACTTCTTTTTCTTTGGAGTTTCGCCATTTCATCCTTCGATTCTGAAACCAGATTTTCACCTGTTTGCAAGTTAATGGGAGTTTATTATTATTATTCTTTGCTTTAAACAACTTTGCCCTAACAAGTGGTTTTTTTTCCTTTCCATCCTCTTAGTTTCACATTCCTTCCTTATTTGTTGTTACAGTAGAGAACCAGTAAAGGCAGCTGACTGACATTATCTGAGGATTTTCCCATCACTATTTACTACAACTGGAACAAATATTCTCCTTGACTTTCACCATCTACAGTAATTAATTAGCTTAGACTGGAAAATGGACAGCCCAACAGCTAGGGATAGAAGAGTTTCCGACAAGCAACATCCTTGACAGAAGAGAATTCCCAGAGAAAATTAGTGTCATCATTAAGAAAACTAAGTGATATTACCGGTGGTGTGAGGACCTCTATTAAGCAGAGGCTGTAAGGAGCATGACTGTCCCTTTCACAGACATAGCTAAAATCAGCTTGGCCATACAGCTCCAAAAAGTGTGTTGTGGCATCGGAGATGGGATTGAGGATTCAGAGATATTTTGTCTGCCTGACTAAGTTTTCCAGGAGTTGCCTACAACCCATGTGATTTTGAGACAAAATCAACTTTTCAAAAACTTTGAGTTGCAATTTTAACACAAGCATTCAAAGGCATTTATAAAATGCTAGGGAAAAGTTAGGGGAATATACAACCAGGAACTGGTTTTACACGAAGAGAAGAAAGGTGAGGGTGAACAATCAAATTATTCACTGTGTTCTCTTTTCCCTTAAGCATTTACATTTAGGTCTGAAGATATGAAAACAAGATATGAAGGCTGTGGTTTGAAAGGTTTGAGAATCATTGTCTGAGATGATAGGTACTGTTCCTCCAGCACAACTGGTCAGAAAATTGAAGAAGTAACCTTCAGAGCAACTTCTCTTCCTTTCATGAGGGAAATAAAAAAGAGACGAATATCATCTGGTCTCTCACTATCACAAAATTATATTCTTTTAGTGGTAGTGGTTATGTATCATTACATTATTTTTTACACACCCAAGTTCTCCTGAATAACATGAGCACAGAAAATAATATCGAGGAAATAACTATAATATTAGGAATTTGACTACATTTTGGGAAATTTTTTAGGCAGCACACTGGTGAGTGCAACTGCACATTTCCATTGAAATAGTTTTCCTGCAGAGATTACAGTTATGTACATCACACTGAGAAACACCACACTGCTTGTTTTTGTGTTTATTGTTGCAGTGCTTGCAACAGTGTCAGAGTCATCAGTTTGCAAGGCACCCCCACAGATCACCAGATCTAACCTCCTGTGCAAACTAGAGCCAACTGCAAAGTGAGATCAAATTGTTGAGAGCCTTTTCAAGTTCTTAAAATCTCCAAGACAGAGATAACAAGAGCTGTCATCACCACTCCCAGGCTTTTCTGTTCCCCAGAGAGCTTCTGCACACGCATCTGAGGCACTTTCACTCCTACTGCATTCAAATAAACAAAATTGTACTGTCACCTCTCAGTATTTCAGCTGCAATCTAGAGGGTTGCATCTACTCCAGCACCTTCAGAATCCTACCTGTCAGCAAATACCATGTTCATTTTCTGCTGTTACATGCCCTCACAAACTTTTTTTTTCCCCTGCAGTTTCTTTCAGATTATGTGCTCTTCAAGCCAGGCATTTTTCCTTTGTTTTTATCTGCAGATAGGCAAGGGCCCAAAGATTCCAGATTGGGCTACTGCTGCTCAGCACCACTATTAATGTAGCAGTTCAGCCAGAACAGCTCACTGGAGGCATTAGACCCCCAGCTAAACTCTAAAATCCTGCAGCAGACCAACTCAGGCTCATGCAAAAAATCCCATGAAATGGGAATTGGCAAATTAAGTGGGAGTGTTTTAGCAGGTCACCCTGCAAAGTTTTTCTTCTTATGGTATCTCTCAGCTCTGAAAATCTCTTTGTGCAGTCAAGTGTCTCTCCGTAGGAATGGGTGCCTGTCTCTTTGGGCAGAACAGTTGCAGAGGAAGTGCTGTTGACTCCCTTGTCCCTCGTGACTGCCTTGCTCATCTGTGAGTGCAAAGGGTGCTCACTGGAATGAAAGAATGATCTACTCTCTCATGTATTTTCCACTGTCTTTAGAGCAGTGGGATGGAGCATAGTTCCCTACCCCAAAGCTTCCAAGGGGGCTCTGTCGGACAGCAAAGAAAAAGCGAGTTGGAAATGAAACACAGAGGTCATGTTTCTTTGTGTGAAAATGGAGCCATCCATTTTTGAATGCATACGTACAGGAAATAAACTAGGAAACTGTTCAAGTATTGCCTGGTTTAAACTGTCATTGATTTACTGAGGTCTTTGCAGATAAAAGAGTTCAGGGCTGCTCCTGCACTGTTCAATTTTCCTCCTTCAAAGCCATTTTGAAGATTTTTCCCCAAAAGTACATTTCTTACCTGAGACTCCTTTAGACCCAGGGTAAGGGCCAGTTTCTTCCTGTCTGTTTTACTAATATACTTCTGCTTCTGGAACATTTTCTCCAAAGCTTTCCTCTGGTCTTCAGAAAAGACAGCTCTTCTTAATATGCCTCTCCGGGATTTGGAGTTAGACTCCTGGGTCAGAAGAGGCAGCACACTTTCCTCCCCTATTGGAAATAGATGAGAATTTCCCAAAACATCTAGCACATATCAGAGAAATATTAAGTGCTGTTCATTATAGTGTTTGCAGACTCTTGTCCCACTTTTGATTTGTTGGTGTTATAAGTGTGTTGTAATGCTTTAGTCATGTTCACTAAGGATTAAATCCTCACTTGGATCTAGAGGTGTTGACAGCACTCAAGAGTCTCCCCCTGACATGGTACAAAGAAAATCAGGTAAGTTCATAGAGGAATATTAGGATAGAGCCCATGCTACTGCAAAATTCAAATACAGTCAGGGGGGAACTTCACTTTTCTTTGCCAGTCATCACCACTAAGCAAACTACAACACGTTTTCCTATGAGTTTATTTACTCCTTGTGTGGAATATAAAATGAGATAAAAGTGGTCTGTAATAGTGATTCAAAGAAACTAAGTAGGCTTTCCTTTTTTTTTTTTTTTTTTTTTTCCTAATGAAAGGGTTTCAGAGTGATCTATTTCTCAAAAATCCCTGGTCATTCACTTAGTTATTCTGGAAACTACAAAAATTCCTGTATTAGAGGATTTGGAGAGTACTTGGACTTACTTCTTTCAGCTTGGTTTCTAATCCTTTGACATCTCATAGCTGTCCTGGGAGGGCAGCTTTCAGTGAATCCAATCACATCCCCTTAATGCACGCCTAGAGGGAGCCCTACCCTGGAAAACAGCCTCAAAGCTGGGGGACAGAGCTGCAGCAAAGTAGAAGTGTTCACACAAAGAGCACAGAAACCCCAGGATAAATCTCTTGTGTTCCTCACACCCAATAAAACCTAAAGCCATAGTGCTTTCCCATGCTCCCTCTCCCCTAGAAAGATATGGTGTATGAGAAGCAGTCCTTGGTGAAGCTTCATATGCTTCCAGTGCACCCAGCTTCCTCAAATACTCAGGAAGCAGGAGCAGGGATCAGTTGAATAGGGCCCATTATCAAGCACGGCAGGTGATAATTAGGGAGATGCAAGCAGGCCAGGAAACAGCTGCACTTTGGCTCAGAAACCTGTGCCATGGTTGTACAGCCACTGACACCTACAATCTTGCTGTAGGAGTGGCAATTCAGATGCAAGCTGCCCTCCTACTGTCCACCTTCTCAGGTCCATGGGCCTAGATTTCCCCCCCAGCTTATAGTTACAGAACGTGCAAAGATGTGTTGCTGCTCAATTCCTACAAAGGATCTGACCATTTTCATATCAAAGCCAAATGCAAATTCTCCCTGAAAAGCAGATTTTCTAAAATACAAAACTTTTTTTTGCATAGAAGTCTATCTATTCTAGTCAGCTGTAATGGGGTTGGGGGGAAATTAAATAACAGATTTTCTAAAATACAAAACATTTTTTTTTTTGTGTAGAAGTCTATCTATTCTAGTCAGCTGTAATGGGGTTGGGGGGAAATTAAATACATTTTTTCAATTGAGGTAGTGCTCTTGAAAATACTAATGAAATCCAGATGCAGTTTCCACAAACTGTTCTTGGGGCTACACCACATTTCAACTTCTGTATATTATGCATATATACACATGGGCATATGTGTATATATGTATAATTTAGACACCCACGGAAAAACAAACACACCTATACTGAGGATATTGTAGTATAATGATGAGAAACTCAAGTGTATATCTGTATGTCTTGCAAAGTTGACTAAATACTTTTGTAGCCGTGTGTTACTGGTAATACATGATATTGATATTCCTTACACTGCCCCTGCATCCTGCTTCCAGCTCTGACCAGTAAAGAAGAGCATCAGAAGCTGAGCAAGTGTACAATGATTACTCCCTAAAATAAGACTACCCCTGTGAAACATTACTAATTTAGGGGCCATTGCATTCTGTCAATTCTTTTCTTGAAATTTTCATGTCAAGAAATCAAGATCTTTTTATCTGTCACTCATAACAGCATGTGGTAAAAATAATTATTATGATTTGCAATGTTACACTATAAATAATCCTTAATTTATACACATGTACTTCAATTCTCAAAATCATAACATACTGGTTAATGTCCTGATATGTATTACACTGTGATACACAGTCAGACTTCATCCAAACCAAAATAAACAATCTGCAGAACAAAAGTCAAAATATCAGAATGGAAGGGCAAGCCAGGTTGATATTTCTCTGGAGACTGCAGAGTACCTTTATAACCCCCACTGCATGCCGCAATCACACCTACAAAACTGGGAGCAAGCTGGGAGCCTTCTTTCCTCAAGCATGTTTTCTCTCTTTCTTCTCAAACTTAGTGAATTTAAGTACCTTTTTCCAGGCAGCCTCTGAGTAATTTCTGCTGAATTGTCAACCATTCTCAGGTTTACTGGAAGGTACAGTCTGAACCAGCAGCAGAACTGGTACCTTCTCTCGTCCCCACTGTGGGATGAGAGACACCAGCAAGGGAAGAGGCGTAACAGGGCTGGTCCTTGCCTCCGGGCCTCTGTTCCACAATGGAGTTGTCAGCCAAGGACAGAGGACGCCAAATTATGTGACCCCTTAAAATTTGTCTTGCCTGGCTGGTTGTTAACAGTCAATCAGCAAGGAAACAACCTCCTGCTGGAGCCTCAAGGCGCCAATTAATTCCTGTATGGACCGTATGTAGGGTCCAGGTTAACACCGATATTAGACTAATAGTGAGGCATCTTTGCACACTAAGGCACAATATGTGATGGATTTTAAAAGATTAACTGAACAAAATTTAATGATGACCAGAATGCTCAAAAGCATTAACAAACAGCCTATGGAGCAAAAAAATCTGAAACCTACCACCAACTGAGCAGCCTAGAGAATATTTTTAAAATAAGCCATATTCTAAAATGCACTCCAACTGTTACACAAAATCTAAATTTCGGTTTGTGGATTACAGGAGTTTTCAGTGCATCAGGATAGGCAGTCATTGATACATTTCAACAATTCCAGCAAAATTAAATATGTCAGTTTGAAGCTCGTCATTCTGAACATGCAGTAGGTTTAGTGTTCTGCTGACATAAATGGGACCAACTATTTTCTATGTTACTGATTTGATTTTTGTTAAGTCTTTCCTTTGTATCCTAATATATAGTGATAAATGTCCTCTTAATCTGTGGAACAATCTTCATTTGCCTTCATGGCAGAGACCACCTTGAAGGAGCAAGTAAAAGCTTTAGTCATGGTTTCCATTTTTTCATTAGAATTCAATACATTCTAGTTAAATGGACAATTAATAGGTCACTTCCAAAATAGTAGTGTATCAGTCCTGGTTAATAAACAATCCCCACAGTTGATAATGGGCCTATGTATTCAGCAACTCCCTGTATACACTCAGCTCATCCACTAAATCCCTTTTCAGGTAGACAGGGTTATATGGGAAGATGAGCTAGAATGAGTCTATAAAAGTCAGTTTCATTCACTGCTTTATTTTTCAGTCAAGTGCTTTAAATGGTGTCCAGAAAATCTCTTGGAATGTGAGACAGGAGAAAAGACTGGCACATAGAGTATTGCTTTATGGCCATACAAAAGGGCAACTGACCCTTGCCCAGGCCTTTTCAATGTGAAATGGTTCCTAAAGTTCATCTGCACAGTGAAAAATTGTGGTGAGGTCGCGTGTGGATGAGTAAAGTGAAAGTGGTGATTGGTCATGGTGCTGTCAGCCATTGTGGGAGAGCCGAGGCCATGTAAAACGCTCTGTGGGAAAGTGTCAGCCCCCTAAAGAGGTGCTCAGAAACTTGCAGCTCATTAAACTGCCAGCATTTGCTGCCTCACTTGTCAAGAATCATTCAACTTAGCAACTGCCCTTCTGAAACATTCATAAAAAGCATGCACTTTAGTCAGGAATGGCTTGAATGCAACTGTGATAAAAAGTATATGCCAGAGCACACATAAGTTCCAATTTTCATTTGGATTTGACAAGCAATTTGTGCTTTTTTTTTTCCTGTTTTGAAGAAAGAGGAAATGCTCCTTCTGTTTTAATTCCTGAGCCATAAGCACAAAATCATGACTGTCCATTCTTAAACTATGGCATGCAATCTTCCCAATCAAGGTTAAATTTAGTTTTGGATTAAATGGATTCTTAATCCTAAGTGGATAGTGAACACTGGTCAAAATTCTCTTCAACATACTTCTTCAATATTTTACATTATGATTAAAGAAGAGAAACAAAATTAAACATGTGCACACATTTGACTGCTACAATAAGAATGATTGTTGTACTTAAATAATGCTAAAGCTTCCTGAATCATAATTTACCCCTAACAAACATTAAAATGCAGCACACATTTTACGATCCTCCAGCTCTTTTCTTATTTGCAAATGTTTATTGACACTGATTTTTAAAAGAGTTACTGATTTTAAAGAATTGTTTCTAGCAAACTGAAAACAAGGCACTTTCCTGGGTTAGCTCTGTCTGGGTGTCTCAATGCCATTAGAAACCTCTCACAATTGCTCAGTGTACTTAAGTTTGATAAATCTTTGGAAACCCTCTGAATAGAATTGCTGTGATTTTACTAAGGAATTAGCTGCTGCCATTGCATCACCAATTAGTTTTCCAGAACACATTAAATCCTGCTGCTTTGGTTTACAGAATAACTCAAGCATTACTGATGAAGCATAAAAACTTACTTGGAAAAGCAGTGGGGGATGCAGGGTGCTGACAGGACCCACCACAGCATGCTGAGTAGAATGGCGGGGCTCGGAGAAAGAAGTGTTTGGAAAGAGCTGCAAAGAAAGCATAGATCTAATTGATTATCCATTGAGCTTAGGTGATATTCATAACAACAGTCCTCCAAAAAGTCAGTGTGTAAAGTCCTGCCCCACAAGTTCTTTTTCCTTTTTTCAACATGGTGATATTTTTAAGGCAAACAATGATAAACCAAGTAATTGCTCTTTAATTTAGCAAGGTTATTTTACATGTGTAGTTTAGGTATAACATGCAAAACTCTCCCCATATTTGTAAGAATGAAGCTCTGCAGACTAGAAATTTCCTTCAGTAATTGTTGTAATTATGGGGGTTTTCCTAAATATTGGCACTGAACACATTGCTTCAATAATATGTTGTTGAAATAATGACTATAATGAATCTGAAAGTTATTTAAAATAACTCTAGTAAGCATGTCATCTTACAAAAAAAAAAAAATCAGCTGGTACTCCAATGCTGTTAACAGCACTCAAACCAATAATGTCCTCAACAAGAAACCTTTAATAATAAAATTTGTAAAGTAGCATGAGATGAAACAGCTGAACTCTACAGGCACGTACTATAGGGCCTGGTTCTGTTATTCTGACTGTCAACTTAGTCTTGCTGAACAAGTGCTCTAAATTTAAATAAATGACTTGCTGAAGGCTCTGCTTGATACAACAAAAAAAAATCTGCAAAGTCAACACAGAGAATTAGGTAACATTTGGTAAATTTTGAATGGATTTTTTTTAATAGAAGTCTCTCATATCTTAAAAGAGCTTCCAAATCATGGAAAGGTTTTCATTATCTATTTATCCCTTAATTTTTTTTTTTCTATAAGGCTCATGGACTTTTCCATTAATCTTAATTATCTATCAATTTCTGCTTGTACTAGTCAGGTATGAAACCTGGAATATTTTTTTGTTTTGAAAAAGATACGTCATTGCTAAAACTGTACTCTTGTAAAATGTGATCAGCATCAAAACATCCATGTCACTTTCTTGTTTTGGTTTAGGCAGAAAATAAGTGGCTCTAGAGCCTGTACTGTAGTTGTCTAAATCTCCAGGAAAAAAATCCCATTAAATTTAAAAAAAAGTAACAGCACACTTGGGTAAAAAAAAATAAAAAATAAAAAAATTAAGAAATCAACAATCAGAAATAAAGGTAAATAGACAAATGTATCTAAGCTATGCTGCTAATTTTTAAAAGTTTTTCAATTGCAATTAAAAATAAAGATAATTCAAACTTAAGTTTCTGACCTCAAAATAAGTTTTCTGACCCTTAAATTTGCTGTTACCCAGAGCAAAAAATTTATTGCTGTAAGTCTAACTCTAAACATTTTTTAAAGTATTAACTTGCAATTGCTGATTGATAAGCATTTTGTTGGTACAGCTTTCCATTGAAATTTTTCATTTTCTAATGAAATATAAATTAACTGCCTAGTTTTGAGGCATATATTTGCAAAACATTTACAAAAAAGAATGATTTACACCAGGCATTAGTATTCTAAAGCTTCTTTTCCACACAAGACCACCAAATGTGGAACCACATCTTAGAAACTTAAAATTGTCAAGAATGTGCAGCCAAATACTACTTATCCCATGTATCCAAAGGGTTTCAATGCAACTGGTGAAGTGTGTAAGCTGGAAAGGATCTGAATAACTCAAGAAGCACAGGAGCTGTAGAAGATAAATATTAACCAAGCTCCTGGACATTAGAGCTTGTCATTGACAGTATATTTTATCCTCTGAAATTCCCAGAGTCTCAGGTAAAGGAGCTTTTCCTCCCTTCCTTGGGAGGCTCATTCCTTGTGCTTTTATCAAATTTCCCTTACAGTCAAGTAAAAGCCTCCACCTCTGAAAATATAACTTAGAATACAGAAGATGGCACACTCCATTCCTTTGCTTTCTTCTTAAATATCTTGGGAGATTCCTTGGCTGCCATTATGTCCTATTCCCTCCAATCATTGCACCAGCACCTCATTCATGCCATGCAATTTTTGTCAGACATTTGTCCCGTCCTTGATATTCCCTCTTATGGTTTCTTAACTTTGTCCAGTTCCTTGCTCTGTTTTGATAATGTGGGGTTCATAATGGTGTGTGATAAAAGCACAAGATACATGGATAAATCAGAATTGAACAAGATATTGATTCAGATAGACAGCATGCTCCTGGAAGGAATGACAGGAAAAGAAAGGACAGTTTCCTCCATTCACTACATCTCTCAACAAGAAATCTGCAAGCATAAAGGTCTGAAGATGGACCAGAGTAACAACTTAAGCAAACTCTTTGCTGAAGCAAACTCCAGAAAAGCAATATATTTCCATGGAAGTTGCTGACAATGATTTAATACAGTAGCATAGTACCACGATGCAAAGAGAAGAGATCTTGACCCTTATTCTGCTCAAGCTCATGGAAATCATGAGTCTGCCTTTCCTGAGCATTTTCCCTAATTCTTTCAACCAATTGCTGCTTTTTTTGCTGCAGGGCGCATATCTATTTGAAGCAGAATATTTGCTTAAGAAGTAGATGCAGGTGAAATCTCATGTAACATTGAACAAAGAGGTTCCTTCTCAAGAGGAAGCTTGAACTCACTTTCAAGATTTAGTCTAGATCCTGAGCAATAAACAATGCCATGATGTCTCTCTACACCGATAGCCAACATGTATGTCCCTTTAAAAAAAGTTCATAACCTTTTTTAAAGTGCTGCAGCTACACCGATGCACTGGTGAATTCTACATTACGCACATGAAACTACATCCCTACATCTACTGAAGCTGTTGCACTCAAACCAATGTGCAGCAGTTTTACAGAGTTATATCAGTATAAAAAATGAGACATAATAGAGGGATACCCAACTCTCTTGGGAGTTCTACATACAGAAAAATGTTAATGATTCAACATAGCATATCCATCCATATCCATATTTTTCATCTTTGATAAAAACAACACAGTTCATCACATTAAATGACTTCCACTACTTGTATGAAACTCCATTAACAGAATTAAAATTACCTAGAATTATACTGAAATCATACCTGTAGAAATAACGTATTACAGTTTTGAGAACGGTATAGAGGAAGCACTACCTATTATTTTCTTTTCACATACATCACAACTCTATCAATATCTGTTGATCAAGAGACCTAAAGCAAACACTCTTTGCTGTTCACACAAGGCTGAAAATTGCTGAGATGTCAGAATATTAATTATGCTACTTTTTGTCCAGAATGAGATACACAGTAACCAAAAGGCAGCTGTTGCTCCCGAAGATGTGTAAGAACTTAAAGCAGGGCCAAAATCCTAGTAATTTGTATTCAGGACACTTAAGCCTTTTTCTGCTTTATATCTTCATTTCATAAAACTGAGCCTGTGTGGAATTAAGTGTTTCACAAAACTCAGTCTTTACAGGTTTAGCTTCACACATGCATGAAAAGTATCAAAGTATGATATAAGTGCCTTTTGGCACTCCTAAAACTGTACTATATGCCTTAAAAGAAAATGTATTGGATCAGATATATATATAAGTATGAAATACCTAGGGTTTGGGGGTTTTTTTCACAAAACAAATACTTTTGACACTGGTGCTCTATGCAAATTCTAGTCATAATGTTCACTACATTTACCTTTGTGAATAGAAATAATTTTACAGACAATAAAATAATACTAAACATGTAAACAGGCCTCAAGCTTATCTAGTGCTAAAACCCAGAAAGCAGGTATTTTAAAAGACACTGTCTGCTATGAAAATATTCTAAATTCAAAAGCCCTTCCATTATAAAAAGTCATACTCACAATGGGATCAGAAGTTTTCCTTCCAACTATCCATCATTTTGAGAGTAAGGGTCCTAAATACAATCCAGCTCAGTTATGCAACTTTGAAAATGGCTTATTATTAAGGACACTGTTTACTCTTTCTAATACTACTGTTGTGAAATAACTCATTAATGAGTTTGGCTATCAACCATCAGGAAAGTGGGAAGGGGTGAAGGAAAAATGGCTATTGAAGGAAAGTGAAACTGATGGCAAACTTCTGGTATTATCCATACAGGCTCCTTCACTGCACATGCTGCTAGTCTGTTGGGGGGTTTTAAAGATTATTGATAAAAATGTGGTATCAACTTGTGAAGAGAGCTGGAACACCTCCAAAAATTATTCTGAAAACTGCCTAGAGCCAGCTAACAAAACTAACAACAGGAGCAGAGAAACCTCAAGCTGTGTGTACACTTCAATTCTCCAAGCATTCTCCAAGCATTACACTTCAATTCTCCAGCATTCAATTCACTAAGTCCACATGAACTGCTTTCTACCGTGATGCCTAGGTTCCAGCCCTTGCAGGAAACTTAAATATATTATCAGTAAAATTATCACACTTCATCTGAGAACCTTGGATGGTTTGTGCCCATAACATGGGCACAACTGCGATTTCCTACCTACATCCATTCTTGGCAATGTTTAAAGCAGGCTCTTGCAAAGCTGCAGGGAAGTTTCATGTCATGAAGAGCTCCCTGAAAAAGCCCAGCAGTAGCTCTGCCAGCTTAGTGATCCAGCTGAGCTGCATTTCTGCTCCCGAACCCAAGCCTTGGACCTCATGATGAGTCATGGCTCTTTCCCTAGCAGTTACTGTCTTTAGAGTGCAATGTTCCAACAGCAGTTGTACAACCCCAAAGCATTTCAATCAGCTGAAGAGGAGCCTCCAACTGCGAGAACAAAGCAGCAGCCACTGCCATATCCCACCCAAAAGCAACTGCCATCACATGGAACTGGAAAAACTTACTGCAAGAGTCTGTGGGGCAAGACCCCTCAGAACTGGCTGTCCTGCACTCCCAAAGTTACCATTTGCTTCCTACTTCTGTAAAATGCAACCACATGAATGCTCAAAGGAAGCCAAGCCAAAAGGGTAAAGCAGAGTAGCATCCACAGGTCAGTTTTTAAAACATTCAGAGAAAGGGTTTTAAAGTTCTAAATATATGTATTTTTAATTCCTACACAAAACACGGGGGCAAGGAGTGGGCTTGCATTTTTAAGCTGGGTCATGGTGG